ACCCGCCCGGACCCGGACCCGGACCCGGACCCGACCCCGACCCCGACCCCGCAGAGGACAAGCAGGTACGTGCGCGCCGCCGGCCAGCCTGCGGCGATACCCGCTTGCTGTCACCCATTGTGGCACCAACGCCACTGGCGCCCAGGCGCGACCCCGCCCCCGCCGGCCACCGTCCTCCGGCCCTGTCGCCACAGCCGATTGTCATCCAGGCAGTGCCCCGCGCCTGGGGCTACAGAAGGATGGAGTGGGCGCCGTGAGACGGGCCTGGCCCCTGACCCGCACCGCAGGGGCTGAGCACCCCTCCTAAGGGTGGGGGGATGGGCCAAGTGCCCCTTTCCATTGGTCCAGCACCAGCATCTCTTTGCTGACCTGGCATGTCTGTGTGTGCCTGGGGGTCTCGGGTGAGGCCAGGATTGTGGCATGCCTGGCTGAGGTAGGAGACTCAGGCTCCACCAGCCAGAACACAGTCCCTGAGCAGCCCCCCAGGGAGAGTCTCTGGCTACCCATCCCATTCCCCTTCACCTTCAGGCCCCTCTCCCTCCCCCACACAAATTCCAGTGTACTGGTCTATGGCTGGGCCTCTTCCCCAGACTAGGAGTCTCCAAGGCCTGGTCTGAGTCATCCCGGTGCCCAGCTTGGGTCCTCGGACCCAGTGGGTACAAATAGGCCTGTGGCTTCCCAGAAGTGCTGGCCTGCTCCCCATCCTCCAGGAACTAAGGTCCGGATGGGAGGCTAGCTGGGCACCCATGGTGAAAACCCAATCGAGCTCCAGGTTAAACAAAGCTGTGAGACCCTGAGAGAGAAATGAGGATTGGTAACTACGTGGGCTGGGGGTACTGGTATAGCCCTGCTGGTGGCCTCTCTGGTTTGCGCTCAGCCATCTCTAGAGGAGAAAAGGGCCCAATTCTGGCACCTGGATGGCCTTGGCAGCCCCCCTCCAAGATGGAGGTTCCTAGGAGCCTTGGATGCTAGGTGTGACCTGGGATGCACCCAGGCCCAGGGTGCAGCAGGCAGGGCACAAGGGGCTGGTGGGGGCATGGGACCTGGGTACCAGTCACCTGAAAGGGGCACGCCCTCCCCAGGGTGGGTGAGGCTTATTGGGAGGGGTTCCCTAGGGAGCCCGGCAGGCGCTGCCTCCCCATCACAGCATGTTAGACAAAGCCCGAGGTGCAGGGACACAAGCATCAGGCTATTGTTTGAGGAAGAGGGAAGGAGATGCGAGGCTGGGGAGACTGGAGACACCAGCCCTAAGACTTCTCCTGGGTTTGTGGGTGTCCCCAGCTTGGCCCAAGGGCACCCTGAGGTACTGGGCTCAGGCTCTGCTGCTCAGGCCAGCTGGGTTCCCCTTCACCCATTGCTTTGTGGATGGGGACTCCTCCTGCTGAGGTGTGAGGTTTTTTGGCCCTGGTCAGCTGGGAGCCAGCCTCACCCCATTCCCACCCCCAGGCCCTGATAGAGAGGACACTGCGCAGGTGGGGGTAGGGAGCCCCAGTAGCAGGACCAGGTACTAGGTGTTTGGGGCGCCCATGGTTTTGGGGGAACCGGGAGCACATGGTGGACTCAGCACTGTTGTTGACGAGCCCTGCCTATATCAGCCTCCTGTTATTCTGTGAAAGGGTGGTGTAGAGGCATGGGGGCTCTACGGGCCCTCTATGCCCCCACCTCCTCTCAGGCAATGACAAACTAGCTTGGCTCTGGCTGCTGCTTCCAGAGCTGACTTGGGTGATTCTAAGAATGGAAATGCCTCGAGCGTCTCAGGCACTGCTAGGAGTGGGCGCAGCTGTCACATGGCTCTGGAACCCTGGGGAGTGTTTGTTGTGCCTCAAGGGCCAGAGAAAGAGGGTGGCAGGGCTCATTCTTTGTCTCCTCCCCCTTCCTCCCCAGGAAGCCACAAGCCCTGAATGGGCCCAGTTGGGAGACCGGGCAGGTGGTTGGGAGCTGGGAGTGAGATTCCTGCCCTCCTGACCCAGGGTTCCCCAGAGGCTGTGCCTTACCAATGGGGAAACTGAGGCAGTTTGAAAGCCACAAGCTCCATTAGATACCTCCTAGCCTGGGAGACAGGCCCAGGGCTGTCTTCCTGTCTTCCCTGTCTGGGTGGGTGCTGGGCTGAAGGCTGTATCCAAAGGGAATGCGCGGGTGGAGGCTGGGTAAGACTCAGCCTGAAGCTTCCTGCTGGTCAAGGCCACAGTGGGCTATGGCCAGTGAGGAGGCTTTCTGGGAGCATGGCCTAAGGAATGGTCTGGCAGGGCTGGGTGCCCTGTGGCTGCCCCCCCCCCCCC